ATCTTATTTTGACACTGGCATCATCTTTCTTCTGATTAGTATTTTCCTTTTTTCCCCGATGAGCACATGAGAGGGGTTTATCATCAGCTTGCTTCAGTGGAAAGGGCCTCTAATAAAGCGATAGAGGGATTAACTCTTGGCAGGAATGTGTTACAGGAAAAGACAGTGGGGTAGAGAATATTGTTCAGTCAGATACAGAAAGAAGATTGTGTGGGTCAAGGCCACCAGAGTTACAGAGATCCCTTGCAGAGTGACGAGTTGATTGATAGATTCCAGAAGGGTACTGCTGCCTAGAAAAGTCAACTAGTGAAGGTGACTGCTTTCATGGAACGAGGTGACAGCAGGACTGTGCTCCTTTTGGAAGCTCTGGAGGAGACTTGTGCCTGGCCTTTTCTAGAGTCAGCTTCTGTCTTTGGCTCATGCTCCTTCCTTGTCCAGATAGCAAGGGAGCCAATTCATCACAATCACATCATATCACATCACTCCCACCTTGCATCCTTCTAAGGACTTCCAGTCTCCTGCCTCCCTCCTCTATGTGTAAAGGCCCCTTGTGAAAGGGAGCCCTGGTCTTCAGGGCTTCGAACCAGCCAGCCTCCATGCAGGAGGAAGACGTGGCAGTCCACTTCTGTAAAGATGGCAGCTCTGGAAACCCTTTGAGGCAGTTCTGCCCTGTCCTGTAGGGGTCACTATGACTCACAGTCCACACAGTGGCAGTGGGTTTGGTCTTTCTGGCCAGGGGTGACACAGAGCACACCCAGATAATCTGGCGCAATCTCTTCTATTTGGAAGTCATCTGATTAGCAATTTTAATTCTATCTGCAAGCTTAAGTCCCCGATGCCAAGAAATAGCATGTCCACAGGTTCCAGGCACTAGGGTTTGATGGGTAGGGCAGGACATCATTGCCCAACACACACAGTTTACAGCAGAGTGGCATCTTCCGTCAGTACCCACAGAGACTATCATCACATTGGCAGGTCAAGCTATTGCCCGATACTCAAAGCCTGCCCTAATCTTCTCTCCTTTGAAAATCGTATTTTCTCCATGGCATCTCTAAGGGTTTTCTTTTTCCTTTTTGATGTCCTGCAGTTTTACTATGGAATATATGAATATGATTTAATCATATGTAGTTCTTATTACCTGTGGATCTGTGTCCTCATTGCTGGAACATTCTCATCTATTATTTCTAACAATAACTCTCAGTCCTTCCCCCTTCCCCCTGTTTAATTCTCCTTCAGCATCTCCTGCTTCTCAGTGTGTTTCAGTTCTCTGTTGTTTGTTTACATCCCCTGTGCTGTCTGTTTCTGTTCTTCAACCCTGTCTTCCAATCCACTCAAGTATTCTCTCATTAGTATTCAGTCTGGAATGTGTTCCATTTATGGAGGGATATCATATCTTAGTTTACATTTTCGTGTTTTATAACGTCTTGCTCTGCATGCCCTATATTATTCTGCTGGGATATCCTAAGCACATTCTTTTTAAATCTTTGTCAGACACTTGCATATAGTTAATTTCATCTTGGGGGAACAGGAACCATGTGCATACTGGGCTACACCTTGGACTGCTAACCACAAACCCACCAGCCACTTTGAAAGTGCCAATTTGAGGCTTCTGCTCCAGTAAAGATGTACTGCTGGGGGAGCCCTCAGGAGGAGTTCAGCTCTGTCCCTGAAGGTCGCTATGAGTTGGAAGTTCTACTCTGTTATATAGGGTCTCTGTGAGTCAGAATAGGCGCTGGGAGTGGCTTGAGGTAAAGCCAGGTTCCTGAATGGTGTTTGTTGTTGCTAGGTGCAGTTGTGTCAGTTCTGCACAACAAAACAACCTGCACCACCCACAGTGTTTATGTTTGACTCCATTATCGCAGCCACATGTCAGTCCATCTTGTCGAGGGTCTAGCTCTTTTTCACGTACTCTCTACTTTGCCAGCATGATGGCCTCTTCCCGGGGGTGGCCTCTCCTGATAATGTCCAGAATATGTGAGGAAAAAGTCTCGCCGTGCTTGCTTCTACAGCGCATTCTGGCTGTACTTCTTCCAAGACAGATTCGTTTGTCCTCTTCGGTGTTCTTTCAGTATTGTTTGCCAGCACCAGCTCTCAGATGCATCGAGGCTCCTCAGTCTTCCTCGCCCACACGCAGAGGAGGTGATGGAACGACCCTGGCTGGGGCAGGGGAGGGAGCAGTGTGTTGTTGCTAGGGGTCACTGAGCCCAGCGTACAACAGAACAAAGCCCTGCACAGTCCTGCGCCGTCTTCACAATGGTTCCTGTGCTGGAGCCACTGATGCAGCCTCGGTGTGAGCCCATCTCATTGAGGGCTCTCTCTCTGTCGCTGCCCCTCCACTTTACAAGCATAATGTCCTCCTCCAGGGACGGGTCTTGCCTGGCAGTAAATCCAAAGTATGTGAAACAAAGTCTTACCATCCTTGCCTCCAAGGAGCACTCTGGCCTTACGTCTTCCGATACCTTCCAAGATCTGTTTGCCCTTTGAGCAGTCCGTGGTACTTTCAGTAGTCTTCTCCAGCACCACAATTCAAATGCATCTACTTTTTATTAATGTATAAGAAGTAGTTACATATCAGGAAAATACCCCAGCCCAGTCCATACGTCCCTCTTCAGACTCATGAACCCACATGCAACGATGCAGAATGCAGGAACATCACCAGCTGGTCTTGTGGATCCAGTGGTGGTGGACACATCTCCAGGGCTCTGGCAGATCTCCGAGTGGCTTGTCAGCAGGAAGGTGAAGCCAGAGAGAAAGGTCAAATGCATCCATTCTTCTACAGTCTTCCTTATTCAAGCCACTTGTCTGTTGGTTTGTCACACGGTGGTGGTTTGTGTGCTGCTGTGATGCCGGATGCTATGTCACTGGCATTTCAAATGCCAGCAGGGTCACCCAGAGTGAACAGGCTTCAGCGGAGCTTCCAGACTAAAAAGAGACAATGAAGAAGGTCTCCGCTCCCCACTTCAGAGGAAGACACTGCTGAAAACCTTATGCAGAGCTTAGAAACACTGTCGGATACTGAGAGCCAAGCAAGGGAGAGCTTATAGGCCTTCTTCATTAGCCCGGGATTCCCTCCTGAGCTTGGTAACCCTTGATGTCAGGTCTGGTCTGAATACAAGGCCTTTCCTGGTTTCATTGTTTGCCGTCATTACTTCTCTCCATACTATCTCCTCCATATCTAGTGGTTTTGCTTCCACCCCGCCCTTCTGTGGGGCAGGCCTTCCATTCCATGGTGGCTGATATTAGGAAACCAGTTTCACATCTTATACTTGAGCCTGTGTCTGCCCGTCATCCCAAACCCACCTCTCTGCCCAGCTTGTAGTGACATGGGGCCCCAAAGTTAAACTTTGGGGAAGTTTCTGAGCTGGTTGTTAAATAGGCATCATTAAAAGTTAAATTATATCATTTGACCATTAAATGAGGCAAAGGCCATCAATCCTGAGTCATCACTTCCTCGTTATTTCCCTACATACTACTCTGATTTGGGCTCTTAAAAAGGAACCCTGCTGACACAGTGGGCACCTCCTCTGCTGCGACCAGAGGCTGGCAGTTTGAACCCCCAGCCGCTCAGTGGGGAACGCCCCAAAGCCTTTCATCCAGTTCTGGGTAGAGCGGCAGTTCTCAGCCTGTGGGCCACGACGCCTTTGGGGGTCGAACGACCCTTTCACAGGGGTCACCAGATTTATAGCAGTAGCGAAATGACAGTTATGAAGTAGCATTGAAAAGAATGTTATGGTTGGGGGGCCAGCACAACCCCAGTAACTGTATGAAAGGGTTGCGACATTAGGAAGGTTGAGAACCCCTGGTGTAGAGGGTTGCAGCAGCCCCATTCTCTTCAGGCTACATCCAGCCCTGTGTCTGTGAGGGGGAATCACACACACACACACACACACACACACACACTCAGGCATCACATGGGTAGCTTTCAAGTGTGGATCCCAGTAAACAAACAAACAACAAAACCAAACTCACCGCCATCACGCCGATGCCGACTCTCGTGACCCTGTAGGACAGGGTAGAACTGGCTATTCCTACAGGAGTAGAAAGCCCCCTCTTTCTCCTGCGGAGCAACCAGCAGTTCTGAGCTGCTGACCTTGTGGTTAGCAGCCCAACTCATAAACTATGCCACCAGGGCTCCCCATGGAGCCGAACGGAGCCCAGTGAGGAGCTTTCTGTGTTCCGCAGCCCCGTGCTGCCCTCAGGCCCGCCCCGTCTTCGGCCTCTTCCATAACCAGGGACACCTCAAAGCTCTGCCTTTGGTGGGGAGGCGGGCTTGGTTCTCCATCTTGCTCTCTGTCAGAGTGAGCCCCAGCAAGGTTCATCCCCATTGTGCTGCCTTCCCTCATGTTTCCGGGCTGTGTGCTGCTCCTTTGTCTTGAACCTCACTCGGTGCTTTAGTTTTCCTTGCTGTCCGTCCACTACCCTGGCTCCAGTTTGACTCAGAGAACACAGCAGAGGTGCCACAGTCAGTAGACAAGCTGGACCATCTTGATGGGCCCTCCATCCATGTATTTTTCGTACTAGACACATAAGTTCTAACAAGTGGGTGTTGATAGAGGCTAAAACTCTCTCACCAACCTCCTTCATTACCCCGAAGCCTTCTCGCTTCTTGTCCCCCAGGACCTTGATGTGCTTTCTCTAGGCGATCTGTTCTTGACAAGGTCCTGGGGGGGTATCTGCTACACACAGAGCTCCAGGGCCAGATCAGCTGCTGAGGGTCAGCCCCGACTCACAGTAACTACCCAGGGTGTACAGAGCGTAACGCAGATCCATAAGGGGTCCATTGTAGCTGCTCAGAAGCAGAATGCCAGGCCTTTCTTCTTAGGCACCTCTCAATGGACTCAACACACCAGCCTCTCAGTCCACAGCCGAGCACTTGTTCATCTGCACCACCCAGCGTAATATACATTTACTAAAATAGCGCTCACAATAAAATATCGGAGCCCCCTAGTTACCTAAGTGGACATCCCTGGTTCCCATCTTATCTCTCTTCTTCTCTATAGGTATTAAAGCCGTCTTCTCAGGCCACTACCACAGGAATGCCGGGGGCACCTACCAGGACCTGGAAATGGTGGTGTCATCAGCCATCGGATGCCAGCTGGGCAAAGACACACATGGGCTCAGGGTCGTGGTGGTCACCGCCGAGAAGATCGTCCACCGCTACTGCAGCATAGACGAGCTGAGCGAGAAAGGACTGGCCGATGACCTGGTGGATCTGCTGCAGAAGAGATGATTGCCCTTCGCGAGCTATTCACTTTCCGCCTCCACTCGGTTCTTAGCTTGCCAGAGGCAGCAGCTGCACCTAGCTCCTGATTGGAAGCAAAATCGCCCAGGTGAATTCATGTCCTTTTGCATAAATCAGAGCGCTGGGTCAGATCCTAATATATTCAAAACAGAACTGCCTTCCTTTGAAAAAGAGAATGGAGCCTGGAAATAAAAAAAGAAATTCATTGATACCCGAATATTTCTTCGTTGGTGTCTGCAGACATTCTTCATTTTAATGCTATGTTTTTCAGCTCTGCTTCTTGGTCAGGGGGATTGTTTTCCGACATCCTACAGGCCATGTCTGCCTATGTGCTCAGTCCCAGCTGGTACCTAGTGGTGGCATTTGCTAATTTCTTGAGCAAACCACATCAAATTGTCTTAAATTGTGGCCTTAACTCCCCAAATGCTAGGGAAAACCAAAGTGAGTGCCTTCCCTGCCTAACAAAACAAAGAATTTCTCGAATGATCAGTCCTGTTTGTTACGAGGAGCTGAGGAGCCCCCGTTTGCTGGGGGCTTTTGAAGCATCTGCTAGCGCTGATGGTGGGAGTCAGGTGCTGTGGGTGCTGTCACAGCTGTGATTTGCCTTCCTGTGATGAGAGAAGTCACCTTCATGCATAAAAGGGCCATATAAGAACATCTCCTCCAAAAGATGAGAGCAACGCTCCCAAACCTGCCCACCCCTCCCAGCCACTGGGCCGTGAGCGCAGTCTGTGCACACGCATTGCATGTTCCAGTGCTGCAGCCCTGCAGGGTGGGGCTCTCCTGGGATCAGAATAAACCAGGTGCCGTGGAAGTGCTTCCGGCCCATGGCAACCCCACGTGTGTCAGCGTAGAGCTGTTCCCATGTGGTTTTCTGTGGTGGGTTCTATGAAAGCAGCTGTCCAGGCCTTCCTCCCTAGGTACCGCTGGGTGGAGTCGAACCTCCAACCTTAGCAGGCCAGTGTGCTAAGAACTTCTTGCAGCACCCAGGGACTCCGAGGTCCGAATGCCCCTCCCTTGGGGAGCTTCTTTACTGTGCTACTTGACAGGAAAAGTAGGAGTAGATGCTGACTTCTCAAAGGAAACAAATCCTCAGGGAGGAAGCCTTTTCCCCGGCAAAATACAAATCGGCCCGCCTTGATGAAGGCATGGGGCAGTGGTCAGCGCCAAGAGAGTGTGTTGTGTGAGCTTGGGCACGTCATGTGCACTTAACCCAGTTGCGTTGTATCAGTGCTGTGTGGTTTCCAGAGCCTCAAACATTCATTCCAGTTCAACTTCGGCTGGAAATTTGCATTCCCTTAAGTTTTACTGGTCCAGAGTGTGTCCTTAAAAGCCACAGGTTTTGCTAGGGTTTTTCCCCTCCTTTTTTTCTGAAGGTACTCTAACAAAACCAAGACAACTGTATTACTGAAAGAACTTGTCTGCAGACATCCACTAATGTCAGAGACATATTTTCTTTGTAATAAACAAGGCATATATGGATCATATAATAAATTATTATAACATTGCAGATAAAGAATTCCAGAACCCTTCATTATGCTTGTGTGAACCCTGTCCATGGATCAGAACTCAATTATGGTGGTCGTCTGAACAGAACAAGGGAATACTGCCTGGTTTAAAACCAGGAACGGCGTGCATCAGGGTTGGATCCTTTCACTATACGTATTCAATTTGTAGGCTGAGCAAATAATGAGAGATGATATGAAGGAAAACTAGATATCATGATCGGAGGAATGCTTATTAATATCCTGTAATTTGCAAACTGGCACAACCCTGCTTACTGAAATGAGGAAGACATGAAGCAGTTGCTGATGGGAAGAACTACTGCAGCCTTCGCTTTGGATCGCAGTTCGACATGAAGAAAACCAAGATCCTCACACATGAATCAATAGGCAACGACATGATAGGTGGGTAAAAGATTGACATAAAGGATTTCATACTATTTGGACCCAATGCCCATGGAAACAGCGACAAGAAAGCAAACGATCTGTTGTTCTGAGCAAATCTGCAAGAGAGCACTTTAAAGTACTAAAGACTAAAGCTGTCATTTTGAAGAGTAAGGAGGTGCCTGACCCAAGCCATAGTATTTTAAGTCACCTCATAGGCATGGGAAAGTTGGACATTAAATAAGGAAAACTGAAGAAGAACTGATGCATTTGAATTATGATGCCGGTGACGATTATTGAAAGTACCATGGACTCTCAGAAGAACAAACCAGTCTGTCTTAGAACAAGGACAGGCAGAATGCGCCTCAGAAGAGAAAGTGGTGAAACGTCTTCATCTCACATACGATGGACATGTTATCAGGAGACACTGGTCCCAGGAAAGGGACATCGTATACTAAGTAAACTAGAGGGTCAGCAAAAAAGAGGAAGCCCGGTGGCGAGATGGATTGACACAATGGCTACAGTAGTAGGCACAAACAGCAGTTGTGTGACTGCAGAGAACCAGACCATGCTTCATTCTGGTGTGCTTCGGGTCACTATGAGTTGAAACCAACTGGATGTTCACAAGAATAAAACAGTGTATGAGCTAGAACCCTAGTAGCAATACCTTGAGACTTAGTCTTAAATAGAGACACATGTATAGAGACCAAAGTGCATTCATGAGCACCAGGTTGAGTGGGAGGAGGGAAGGTTGGCTTAGTGCTTAGGTGACAGTGATGGAAACATGTGGAAATTGATTATGGTTATAGCTGAACATTATAAACATAATGGATACATAAATAATGTTGAAATGGTGAAAGTGTTGTTACATATATATCATAAGTTGGTGGAGTTTTTTTAAGGACTAGGGTTCTACATAGGAAAGGGCGTGATGCAGTGCTCCAAGGTGTGAAGACAACATGCCAGCATGGAGTAGGGAACCAGTGGAGAGGTCTGGGGGGCTGGTCCCAGCCCCAAATACTAAGTGGATGCCTGCCCCTCCCCTGAGAAGAATTTATTTCAAAG